GCCGGCGTTGTGGTGCAGCAGGTTAAAGCCCTGGCCTGAAGCACTGGCATCTCACAAGGGCACCAGTTCGAGTCCTGGCTGCTCCACTTCCGATCCAGCTCTCTGCTATGGCCTGGGAAGGCAGTGGAAGATGGCCCAAGTCCTTGGGAGACCTGGAAAAAGCTCCTGGCTCCTGGCTTCAGATCTGCACAGTTCCAGCCGTTGTGGCCATTTGGGGAGTGAACCAGCAGGTGGAAGACCTCTCTCTCTGTCTCTACCTCTCTCTGTAACTTTGTCTTTCAAATAAATAAGATAAATCTTAAAATAATAATGACTAATCCCCCCAGTGAATACTATAATCTTATACTATTCTGAGATCTATACAAGTATTATTTCAGTGAATTTTCATAGCATCTCTTCTAATTTTGTGACTAAAAAAATTGAGGCATAGAAAAGTTAGAGAATTTTTCATAATTCCACACCTAAAATACGGCAGATCTAAAACTCAACTTTCAGGAAATCTAATTCTAGAGTCAAGTTCTGAATTCCTATGATTTTTTTCAATTCCTATTTTCTCTTTATTTTTGAGTAAAGTTTGATATTTCACAATTTCCTGGAGAACCACTGTTTCATCTAGATTTGAAAATTTATTAGCATCACCTGAATTTCAAATTTTGATAGAAAGTTCCAGAATTTGTATCAACTTAAAACTAATTTAGCCCTAGCCGGCGCCGCGGCTCACTAGGCTAATCCTCCGCCTAGCGGCGCCGGCACACCGGGTTCTAGTCCCGGTCGGGGCGCCGGATTCTGTCCCGGTTGCCCCTCTTCCAGGCCAGCCCTCTGCTGTGGCTAGGGAGTGCAGTGGAGGATGGCCCAGGTGCTTGGGCCCTGCACCCCATGGGAGACCAGGAAAAGCACCTGGCTCCTGGCTCCTGCCATCGGATCAGCGCGGTGCGCCGGCCGCAGCGCGCCGGCCGCGGCGGCCATTGGAGGGTGAACCAACGGCAAAGGAAGACCTTTCTCTCTGTCTCTCTCTCTCACTGTCCACTCTGCCTGTCAAAAAAAAATAAATAAATAAAAAAAAATAAAAAAAAAAAAAACTAATTTAGCCCTATATTCTTGCTTCCCATATCATGAATGCTATAACTTACCTGGGGCAACAGTACATGTGAATCTTGCACTAAAATTTCATAACAAAAACAATCATCACCTCATCTAAGACATTTTTGATCACCACAAGTTTCTAAAAGTTTGATGCTTGAAGATTAAAGATCACTAACATTGATGATATGAAACATAATTTTCCAGACAGATATACTTTTTAAAAATTCTTTTACTGTGATAGAGGAGTATATGGCAAGACAAACTTAAGGTAGTAAGTGACTGTACATTGAACATTTATGTAGTCATTATTACTTACAATGTCAGCAGTTAGAAACAATCTGCATGTTTTTTTCTCACATCAGCTCACTTCCCTTTCAGCCATTTATTTAATTTTTTATCAAAAGAATATTTATTAAAATTATTAAGAATTCATAGTGAAACAGGGTTGTATACATAAACACAGGAATTAGAAGGGAAAGCACAAGTGCTTTGCTCCTCACAACGCACCAGGTAAATACAAAATTGTACATATCTTGTGGTGTAGTTTATCAGCATTATTATTTTTACATAAGAAAATAGACAACCAGAAAGTTTTGTTAAGCATATAGTTTACAATCCCAGATGGAATTATAAGCAGAGATGCTTGGTTACTAAACCCTTACTTTTTCTACCCTGCCACCCAAGAGTAGCTTGGCAGCTTTCAATATTAATGTTGCACATTTATTCTCCCTGCTGGACCTTTTCCTGAGAATAAGAGGAAAGCTCTCCCAGAGTAGAAACAACATAATCTTTCCCATGACTTTTCCATTTCCAAACCACCATAACAACATCAACAAAATCACAAGTCATGTTCTGTAGTTTATGTGCTTAATTTCATGTATTTTTGAGAATTCTACTATATTTCCAACTTTATTTTCATCTTTTAATTAATTTTTTAAAGATTATTTATTTATTTGAAAGTCAGAGTTACACAAAGAAAGAGAGGCAGAGAGAGAGAGAGGTCTACCATCCGATGGTTCACTCCCCAAATGGCCACAATGGCCGGAGCTGTGCCGATCTGAAGGCAGGAGCCAGCTGCTTCTTCCAGGTCTCCCACACGGGTGCAGGGACCCAAGGACTTGGGCCATCTTCTACTGCTATCCCGGGCCATAGCAGAGAGCTGGACAGGAAGTGGAGCAGCTGGGTCTCGAACCAGAGCCCATATGGGATGCCAGTGCTTCAGGCCAGGGTGTTAACCCACTGTGTCACAGCACTGGCCCCATCTTTTAAGTAATTTTAACAGATTCTATGTGATTTGTAGATACAAGTCAAAGAACAAATAATGATATTCCCTTCCTCCTTTCTTCCCATCCTCCTTGCTTCTACCTTTCTTTTTTTAACATAGTTTAAATCTACATTACAGTAAAAAGGCTTAATACTTCACCAAATAAGAAGTTTAACAAGTAAAAAGCAAAAAGACCCTAATTTAGTGGGAACATAGACAATGGCTGTGAACTATAATTGAATGGAAAAATGACCATTTCATTCACATACAGTTATTTTTGCAATTAGTTATTCATAATTTCTTTCAATGAAATAGAACCAATGCAACCTAAATAGAACAATGTAATATCTAAATGTTTCCTGTGTGGTTACAAGATAATAATTAAGTTCACTTATACTTTAATCCATCTCCTTGCAACAGTTTATGCACAAGAATAATTTTATGTAGATTTTAATGCAAATAATTATATATATATATAGTACTCTACTAGTTATCACAGATCAGGGAAAATATATGATATTTATATTTTTGAGACTTGCTTATTTCACTAAGTATAATGGCTCCCAGTTTGCTAAAGACAGGATTTCATTCTATTATATGGCTGTGTCATCTTCCATAGTCTATATATACCACATTTTCTTTATCCAGTCATCAGCTAAAGGACATTTAGGTTGATTCCATATTTTAGCTACTGCAAATTGAGCTGTAATAAACATGGTGGGTTACAGATAACTCTTTTATATGCTTATTTCATTTCCCTTATTTCATTTTCCCAGGAGTGGGATAGCTGAATCATATAGTAGATCTGTGTTCAGCTTTCTGAGGAATCTCCATGGCTGTCTTCCACAATGGCTGTACCAATCTGCATTCCCACCAACCAAGGATTAAGGAACATTTTCCCCACATCCTCATCAGTATTCAGTTTTCTGATTTATGTATGAGAGCCATTCTAACTGGAGTGAGGTGAACCTCAGTATGGTTTTGATTTGCATTTCTCTGATGGCTAATGATTCTGAGCATTTTTCATATGTCTGTTGGACATTTGAATTTCATCTTTTGAAAAATGCCTGTTCAAGTCTTTTGCCCATTTCTTAACTGGATTGTTTGTTTTGTTGTTAAGTTTCTTGAGCTCTTTTTAGATTCTAGATATTAATCCTTTATCAGTTGCATAGTTTGCAAATATTCTCTCCCATTCTGTGGGCAGCCTCTTGACTTTGTTAAATGGTTCCTTTGTAGTTCAGAAGCTTCTTAGCTTAATGTAATATCATTTGCCTATTTTGGCTTTGATTGCCTGTGCTTCTGGAGTCTTTTCCAAGAAATCTTTGCCTATACCAATGTCTTGCAGAGTTTCCCCAATATTATCCTCTAGTAATTTGATGTTATCAGGTCACAGATTTAGATCCTTGATCCATTTTGAGTTGATTTTTGTGTAAGGTGTAAGGTATGTGTGTTGTTTCATACTTCTACATGCAGAGACCCAATTTTCCCAGCACTGTTTGTTGAATAGTTTGTCCTTTCTCCAGGGGTTGACTGTAGCTCCTTTGTCAAAGATTAGCTGGCTGTAGATGCTTGGACTGGCTCCAAGCACTTGGGCCATCCTCCACTGCACTCCCGGGCCACAGCAGAGAGCTAGACTGGAAGAGGGGCAACTGGGACAGAATCCAGCACCCTGACCAGGACTAGAACCTGGGGTGCTGGTGCTGCAGGCAGAGGATTAGCCTATTGAGCCACTGTGCCAGCCTGTATATCTTCTGTCTCCCCTTCTAGAAAGTAAGCTCCATGAAGTTAAAGCTGTTCTTTCTTATTCTCTGCTCCATTCTCAGTACTTAAAATAGTAGCAATTAGGCCGGCGCCGTGGCTCAATAGGCTAATCCTCCGCCTGCAGTGCTGGCACACCAGGTTTTGTCCCGGTTGCTCCTCTTCCAGTCCAGCTCTCTGCTGTGGCCCGGGAGTGCAAAGGAGGATGGTCCAAGTCCTTGGGCCCTGCACCCGCATGGGAGACCAGGAGAAGCACCTGGCTCCTGGTTTCGGATCAGTGCAGTGTGCCAGCTGCAGCGCGCTGGCCACAGCAGCCACTGGAGGGTGAACCAACGGCAAAGGAAGACCTTTCTCTCTGTCTTACTGTCCACTCTGCCTATCAAAAAAAAAAAAAAAAAGTAGCAATTAGTAAATAGTAGAGGTTCAATAAGTATTTGTTGAATGAAGTACCTAAGTATAAGTGTTACCTGATTTTAAAAGATTATTTTTTCTAGAATCAAGACAGAAGGAGACAGATGGACAAATTGAGAGGGCTGACAACCACTGGTTCATTCCCCACATGCTCACAAGGGCTAGGGCTAGGCCAGGCCAAAACTGGCAGGAACACAATCCAGGTCTCCCACATGATTGGTAAGAACCAAGTTACTTGAGCCATTACCACTGCCTCCTAAAGTCCACATTATCATAAAGTTGGAGTAAGAATTTTTGAGCCAAGCATCAAATCCAGGTACTCCAGTATGTGATACAGGCATCTTAAATGGCATCTTCACCACTAGGCCAAACACTCACCCTTTGACTGATTAAAATTTTACTGGGCACCCACTGTGTCATGTAAAGTTTGGTGATAAAGTGATTAACATCTATGATCTTATGAAGTAAAAAGATGCAGACAAAATTTCAATCTCCTACTGATTGGGAATATTTTATTTAAATGCTGTAAAATCACTTCACTAAGAGTTGACATGATATCATTCAATTAGTAACATTTTATAACAAAAGATTACCTTCAAAATGCTGTATTCCCATCCAAAGATACCAAACATTTCACCAACTACTTCAAGTAATTTTGAAAATCACCCTTAGCAGTAACGTGAGAAGGGGCCTACACCTAAGATGTCAGCCAACAGCAGCAGACTGAATGTTTCCTAATTTCTACTTCCATACTTCTTGCAGGTATCCTCCTTCGTTACTTTTCCACACATTTTCTCTTTAATTAGAAATACAATTAATTAAGTCTCCTTTAAAAACAAACGCTGTGTGTTTCTATATGATTTGGTCATTTAAATAAATCAGAGCTTTTGAAGAATCACACACCAGTTTCCCTGATCATAGTAGCTTTGCAGAATGCTGACATTACTCAAAGTCTGGCAGGCAGCTTCCAGCTCTCCCTCACAGAACACATGGTAGTAACGGTGAAACACAGCACTGGTATCACAGGATCCTAATGGACCCAATGACTCAACAGGTTTGGCTTTCCCAGAGCTTCCCTTAAGGTGCCAGGGAACCAGAACATCTTGAGAATGAAAAGAAGTCCTGTTGGTATGAACAGGCAGCTCGGAATTAGCAACTTTGTTTGAATGACATTCTCCCTCCTGAATGTCACTAAAGGAGGGGACCGAAGATGCTGTGTCTTGATGGCCCATGTCAGGCATCTGCTCCAGAAGCAACCCTTGTGCAGAAGCGTCACTGCTTATTTCCTCTTTCTTTCCTTGGCTAATTCTATTTCCTTTAAGATATTTAGACTTCTGTTTATTATATTCTTGTTCCATTGCCCAGACATAGATAAGTGCTTTCCCACCAGGTCTCAGGAGTCGAACGAGTTCTTGGAGAGCCAACACTCTACGTTCCTAATAAAGAGTAAATAAGTAAATATACAAACACATTGCCATTAAGCATTCCCAAGAGAGGAAATGGGAATATATAACTGACTGTAGGGCTGTTTCCATCAGAATGAACAGAAAGAAAATATAACAAAATGTCTTATATAAAGCAGGGGCTGTTTTGTGATTAAGAAAAAAAGTTGAGGAAGTAGAGAAAAGGAAATTTTTATTTCTGTTCATCTTCTCTATGGCTTTTTCCTTAACCAACTGGCTGGGATACATGAAAAAACTGGCCAGTTCTTATTGAGCTATGAGTAGTATACGAAGAACTTTCAGGTTAATCATTACATTTATATATACATTTATATAACACTTGTATAAAATCATTACATTTATATAATACTTATGTAAACTGTATTTTGAAGACTCTTATTTAGCACCTTGATGAAGTGTTCATATTAATTCTCATCACTTAAAACAACCATGAAGACTGGATGAAATACATGAGACAGCTGCTTCAAGGCATTGGTGACCAACACTACAGGCAGGACTTAGAAGGCTATGATCCCTGAGAGAAAGGGAATGAACCCAGGTGAGCTTACATTCACCCCATTTTTCCCTGAGATTATTTACTAATCTTACACTGTCAGGAAATGGTAAACATACCAAAGTCAGCTGGACTATAATGTAAAGGACAGATGTTGTAAAGGTCAAGAGTAATCATTAAAAAAACAATAAAATATTAACCAGCAAGCTAACAGAAGAGGAAAAAAATATAACAATAAACTATATTAAAACTATAAGCCTTGCCATCAGAGAGCTAAGATTTACACACACACACACACACACACACAATTGACAAAAGAAATGGATCTTTCCAGTTCCATTCCAGTTCCACAGCACTTTTAGCCTCAGATAATGCCTTCAACTTTCAAAGCAACAGATACTGCACTGTACACCTAAGTGGCCCATTCAATATGGCCAAAAGATCCAGTAAGTAATCTCAAATTATATGTTAACATAGGAGGAAGCACTGTATATGTTATGGTAGTTAAAAGAGAGGATTTTAAGTGTACTCCTTTTTTATGCTGAATAATATTCCATTGTATGTATATACCACATTTTGTCTATCCATTTATCCATCAATGGACATTTGAATTGTTTCCACTATTTGGCTACTGTGAATAATGCTATCATGAACGCAGGTATACAAATATCCATTTGAGGCTCTGCTTCTAATTCTTTTACACCTAGAAGTAGAATTGCTCAATTACATGGTAACTCCATGTCAGATTTTCTAAGGAACTGCCACACATTTTTTCACAATGGCTGTGCTACTTTACATTCTCATCAGCAAAGCATAAGGTTTTAATTTCTCTACTTCCTCAACTACACTTGTTATTTCCTATGTTTCTGATAAATTTCATCCTAATGTACATGGTGTGTTAGATCATTAGGGTTTTTATTTGCATTTCTCTAATGATTAGTGACTTTGAGTACTTTTTCACATATTTATTTGCCATTTATATATCCTCCTTGGAAAAATCTCTATTTAAGACCTCTGTCCATTCTTTAATTTTTTTTTTTGTTACTGTTACATCTTGGGAGTTCTGTATATATTTTGAATTCCTTCTCAGATATATGATTCACAAATATTTTCTTCCACTCCATAAGTTGCTTTTTCATGCTTTGACTGTTTGAGGCATAAAAATACTTATTTTTGATAAAATACAATTTATTTACTTATTCTTCCATTGCCTATACTTTTGATATATCTAAAAAAATCATGCCAAATCCAATGACATGAAGCTTTTCTTCTGTTTTCTTCTTATAGTTTTAAATTTTAGCTCCTGTAAATAGGTCTTTGATCCATAATGGGTTATTTTTTGCAAATGGTATAAAGTAAAAATACAATTTCATTCTTGCATGTGGTCAATGACTTATTTTTAAAATAAATTTCAATAGATATGGAAAGGTAAACATAATAAATTTTTTAAGATTTACAGAGAACTGCAAACAGAGGAAGTGGTCGAACACACATTTGCAAGAGTAAAAAATGGATATAGGTATATTTATGCATAATGATATCTTTCAGAATTTGAAAATGAAGACAATCCACTGCCACTGAGTTACAGTTGAAGAGAGCACTGGGTACCAAACATTTCTTTGAAATGAAGAGGATTTTCTAGTTTAGTGGTGCACTTACAGCCTGAAAACTTTTTTCTGTTTGCAATACTGCTTCTAAGTGTGCTGATGGCTGGTGCATTTCTCTGCAAAGAGCTCCTTACATTGTTTGCTGCAGCCCAGCAGAATTTCTTGGGTTACTATCACAGAGTCAGTGAATGAAGAAGCATAGAGTTTCATGATTTGTTTTGTTTTGAACTTGGGTAGGGTCACAGGGTCTACCCAAACTGCAGGTAACTCACAAGGTGAACAACGAAGTTATTGCTTAGCTTAGCAGATAAACTGTTAACAGAGGGGGAAAAGGGCTTTTTCTTTAAAAAAATAAAATTTACAACATCAAACTCATTTTTTTAAAATTGATAACATATTAAAAGAGTCAGCATACTACTCTTACTTAAGTAAGACAACATTTTGAAAACAAAACAAACAAAAAAGACAGGAAAGAAGGAAAACAGAATGTAAAAGAAAGTGAGACTCCTGTCAGGGATAACAGCAGAGTTGGGCTGAGAAAGAAAAGGGGGGTGAGGGGAGGAGAAAGAAGAGAAACAGAGAAGAGACTCACAGCCTAAAAAAGAAGAGTACATTTAAGAGGCCTATAGCAATATTCTCAAAGTCTCTTCCCATCAAAATTCTGTGACTCTCTGGATCTGAAGAAAGGGAATGAGACTTCAGGTAGAAAAAAGGTTAAAACATATAGCAACAGAAAAAAGTCCCCTCTGGCCTCTGTTTAAGTAAACATGATTCCCATGTAGCCCATCTTAATTGTATGTGCTCTCTTGCAAAGAGGGCAAATTATATTACAATACAAGAGATGAAATGACAAGCTAAAACAGGCTCCAAAATCCATTAGCTTTCCCTGCCACTTTGGCTAAAATTTTTATTTTTATTTTTTTATTTTTATTTTTATTTTTATTTTTATTTATTTATTTATTTATTTGACAGGCAGAGTGGACAGTGAGAGAGAGACAGAGAGAAAGGTCTTCCTTTGCCATTGGTTCACCCTCCAATGGCCGCTGCGGCCGGCACACCACACTGATTCAAAGCCAGGAGCCAGGTGCTTCCTCCTGGTCTCCCATGGGGTGTAGGGCCCAAGCACTTGGGCCATCCTCCACTGCACTCCCGGGCCACAGCAGAGAGCTGGCCTGGAAGAGGGGCAACTGGGCCAGAATCCGGTCCCCGACCGGGACTAGAACACGGTGTGCTGGCGCCACAAGGTGGAGGATTAGCCTATTGAGCCACGGCGCTGGCCTTTTTTTTTTTTTTTTTTTTTTGGCTACAAGTTCTTAGAGAAAGACAGACAATACTTACTGCTGTTGCAAAATGGTGAATAACAGCAATGGAGATGCAGGCATCACAAGACTCACTGCGGACTGGCACTGCCAGCGCATCACACGCAAAGGCCTGAAATTGCCTTTCTCTACAAATGTCCACAAGATTCTGGCTACGGTCACAACCAATCTGTAATACACAAAGAGAATTTCACAACATTTTGTTTAAATGTCACTAGAAATTAAGAATTATGGATTTATTTCATACCTTAAAGTCATGAGACAGATTTCATATTCACTGTGAAAAGGTCTGAGGCCATGACATCATTTGTCAGAATATACAATTATTCATGGGAACATTTATTACCTTAGTAGATATCAAACAGAACTCAAATTAGTATATGGAAACAAAATGAGCAGGAAAAATATGAGAATAATGGAAATGGGAGTTCCAAATTTGCATCTAATTAGTCACCATTCAGAATCTAAGTCTTTCTGCAACATCACACTTTTAAAAAAAATGGAAGTTATCCCATGAATACGGACAGCTAGTATTTTGGAGGAAGTTACAAATAAGGGATCTAAGTTCCCTCTCATTACTATATATCCTGTATTGTAACAGCCCAAATAGCAGAAGGGCAAGTGATTCTTTGTTCTGTTTTATACTTTTCAATGTGATCACTGTTTATAATCAGAAAATAAAAATCCCCAAACAAAAAAGTAAAATAATTTATTTCATTTTAAAAATTACTAATTTTTTTTCTGCGAAACACCTAACTTTATCAAGAATAAAGGGCAAGGCCAGCATTGCGGTACAGTGGGTTAAGCTGCTACCTTTGAGTCCTGGCTGCCCCACCTGTGATCCAGCTCCCTGCTAATGTGCCTGAGAAAGCAGAAGATGGCCTGAGTGCTTGGGACCATGAACCCACATGGGAGACACTGAGGAAGCTCCTGGCGCCTGGCTTTGGCCTTGCCCAGTCCCGGTAGATGGGGCCATTTGGGCAGTACCCCAGTGGGTAGAAGATTTCTCCCTCTCTCTGTCTCTCCCTCTCTCTATATAACTTTGTCTTCAAATAAATAAATAAATCTTACAAAAAAAAGAATAAAGGGTTAAGGGGCTAGGGGCAGACATTTGACCTAGCGATTAACACATCTCACATTGGAGTGCCTGGGATTAAGTTTTGGTTCTACTCCTGACTCCTGACAATGTAGATCATAGAAAGCAGCAGTAATAACAGTAATGGATTCAAGTGACTGAGTTCCTGCACTCACATGGGAGATCTCTACTGAGTTGCTGGCTCCCAGCTTCCAGTTGCAGGAATTTGGGGAATTATATACTTTTAAACTGTTACGTTTAAAAGAGGAGTACATAAAGTGTTCTTTGGGTAAACATTTCACCATAACCAAATCATCCCCAAGCAGGTGAGACCCTAACATGCCTTATGCATTTCTCCAGTTCTGTGGAGAGTTTGGAGATTGGAACTTCCCATCTTCTTTCTGGTATTGTTATTTTTGTACAGTTTTCCTGTTTAGTTCTATAAAGACAATACACACACTCAAATAGGTATATATATGGATACGGCTCCATGAGCACATGTACGTTGGGGAAGAAATAGAAGAGGTTAAGAAATATTATATCACTAATCAATAATTATCCCCAGGTACTTCTTTTTACTCCAGTCTTGATCACGAGAGAAAGATTTACATAAGCAGATTTAGTCAAACAGAAGTGGCTACCTTAAGCTTATATCTACTCATTTAATTTTTTTATGTAATAAGCACTGATCCTTAGGGTTCTCTTAGCCTTTCTGAGAATAAAAACTAGGAATCTTCATATCAAAACAATTGTTACTGAGTTAAATCACTGCCATGCTCCTCACATTAATGAGTTTCTCCATGAGCAAACTGGTATTAAACAGCCTCTATACTCTACCCCAGAGCTGCTTTCATTTCTAAAGTAGAATCAAAGGGACAAGCCAAAGGTAAAGTATAGCAATCCCTGTGACATATTTCAAGATGCAGAAGTACTGAGGGCCCATTAGTAACAACAGTGGCATGATTCTCAATTAATTGTTCCCCTTACCTTTGTAAGGTCATGCCTGGCTTATTACTTTTGTTTATGTTCACTCATATTCTATGTCACTCAGCCATCAGTCAGTAACAATATCAAGATGACAATACCATATAAACATGCAGAACATATACTGCATATTTTGGTGCTTTCCACTTTTTCTTATATTTAAAGTTAGTTCAAAGGATCAGAAGTTTCAAGTCTGCCCAATTCTGACACATAGCTGCACCTTACACGTCAACATAAAGAAATCCAACTGCCTGTAAAACAAATCCTCAGAGCTAGGGCTCAACAGCTATCTAGAGGAGGAAAGTTATAATCTAACAACCACAGATGAAACAGAACCAGGAGAAAAGCAGCCAAACAAGCAAGAGGAAATCTCTCTTTCTTGCCAGGCTGTTATGACTGTTAGTTCACAGCATGCCTTTTCATGGGCAGTTGGTAATAAAGCACCAGATCTCGTGCGGATTCCCACTAACTGTTGCCCTGACTCATATCTGGCTCACTACTTGTCTTTTTCACTTATTTTGCCCTAGTCTTCAACATACCATAGAAAAATCATTAGATTTTCTTCTCTTTATTTTCTATTTTTAAATTCCTTTAAGTCTTTATATCAAAGATACCAAGTACTTTAAATTCGCCCTAATAATATTACATAAAGTGAACAAAAGAACAGAAAATGGTTTATGTATAAACACTCACATATATTTAAGGATTCATGTAAACTACATATTTCTGTGCACTGGATGGTGATCAAGGACATAAACATTCATATTGTGTTTTAAATGAACACTTTTTTGCTAGTAAATTTTTAAATCTTTAACGAAACATGAATTATACAATTCTGGAAGTATAGGTAGACATAAAAAAAAATTCAACCTGGTAATAAAAGGTGTAAATTAAGACAATTTCCATTTTTCTCCTATTAAACTACCAAAACTATTTTATAACCAAAACATACTGCATTAGTATCAGTGTGATAAAACATACTCTCAAATCATCTTCTTAAAATTGCTATTGATGACAATACCAATTGGCCGAATAATTTAAAGTACAATTAGGCAAATCATTTTTTAAATAACATACAAAGTTTATAACTTTTGCTCAATTTATTCTTCTAAAAATGTATCCTAAGAAAATAATCCAAAATATGGAAAAGCTAACCTGGCTATAGCAAATGTCTTTTACTGAGTACTACTATTAAAGCAGTTTCTTAACAAATTTAAACCTCATAACACAGGTATTATTATCACCATATTACAGTTTGGGAAACTTTTTTTTTTTTTTTTTGACAGGCAGAGTTAGACAGAGAGAGAGAGACAGAAAGAAAGGTCTTCCTTTTCTGTTGGTTCACTCCCCAAATGGCTGCCAAGGCCGACGCACTGTGCTGATCCGAAGCCAGGAGCGGGTGCTTCCTCCTGGTCTCCCATGCAGGTGCAGGACCCAAGCATTTGGGCCATCCTCCACTGCCTTCCTGGGCTACAGCAGAGAGCTGGACTGGAAGAGGAGCAACTGGGACAGAACTGGAGCCCCAACCGGGACTAGAACCTGGGGTGCTGGCGCCGCAGGCGGAGGATTAGCCAAGTGAGCTGCGACGCTGTCAGGGAAACTTTTTTTAAAGGTTTGTTTTCGGGGCCGGCTCCATGTTGCAGTAGTTTAATCCTCCACCTGTGGTGCCGGCATCCCATATGGGCGCCACTTCAGTCCCAGCTGCCCCTCTCCTAATCCAGCTCTCTGCTATGGCCTGGGAAAGCAGTAGAAGATGGCCCAAGTACTTGGGCCCCTGAACCCACATGGGAGACCCGGAAGAAGCTCCTGGCTCCTGGCTTTGGATCGGTGCACTCTGGGGAGTGAATCAACAGAAGGAAGACCTTTCTCTCTGTCTCTCCCTCTCAGTGTCTGTAACTCTACCTCTCAAATAAATAAATAAATAAAATCTTTTAAAAAAATAAAAATAAATTAAAGAAAAGGTTTGTTTTCTTTTTTCTTAAAGACATTTATTTATTTGAAAGTCAGAGTTACACACAGAGAGAAGGAGAGGCAGAGAGAGAGAGTCTTGCACCATTGGTTCACTCTCCAATTGGGCGCAATGGCTAGAACTGTGCCAATCTGAAGCCAGGAGCCAGAAGCTTCCTCTGGTTCTCCCACATGGGTGCAGGGGCACAAGGACTTGGGCCATCTTCTACTGCTTTCCCAGGCCATAGCAGAGACCTGGGTCAGAAGTGGAGCTGCTGGGACTCGAACTGGCGCCAATATGAGATGCCAGCACCGCAGGCTGCAGCTTTACCCACTATGCCACAGTGCCGGCCCCAGTTGGGGAAATTTCATCTCAAAGAAAAAAAGCAATACATGGTCTTTATCACTCTAAAAACACATATTCTATCATCTAATCCATTTATACCATTTAATTATCTGTTACTTTTAAGAATCATTATGTTTCTGATTCCGTTAAGAGCTGTACTGAGGGTACCTATAGGAGGTTAGAACACATGTAGTCCCATGGAAGGTCTATTTTGATTTTGGATTGAATCATTATTGCTGTGGTATGAGCAGTGAGTATGATGAGGCTCTTTCCTAAGAATCATTTCAATTTTTTTAACAGATTTTTCCATAAAGTTTACTGTGTTACTAGAAAGGCAGCTCTCTAAATGTAACTGTGTATTTCCCCATTATATTCCCTTTTATATCATTTAGGTTTGCATTCCTTAGTTTCTGCTAATAGGAACAGAAATAATGAAGTCATTTGGGTACGTGTTTAGATTCAGGTTTTTTTCTTTTGTTTTTGGAGGGTGAAGAGAAAGAGGTAAAGGAAGAGAAAAGGTGTAGAATGGGGAATGAAAGGGGAGAAAAAAGTCTTCAAGATGAGGTGTAACAATAACTTACTGAGAAGGTAACTTAGTCAAACATATGTATACAAACTGATATTTCAACGAAGTCCATTGGAATTTGTTTTGTGTATGTGTGTGTGTGTGTTTCCTTTAAGGAATTCTTTGTCCTCCAAAGGATATTTAAAGTCAGTATATCATGAGATCTAATATATTTATGTCCCCAATATTAAGAAATAATGTTCACGAGCTAACGCTGTGGCATAGCGGGTGGAGCCACCACCTGTGGTACAGGAATCCCATATGGATGCTGGTTCGAGTCCCAGCTGCTCCACTTCCAATCCAGCTCACTGCTATGGCCTGGGAGGGCAGTGGAAGATGATCCAGGTGCCTGGGCCCCTGCACTTCCATGGGAGACCTGGAGGAAGCTCTAGGCTCCTGCTTCAGATTAGCCCAGCTCCAACCATTGTGGACATTTGGGAAGTTAACCACTGGATTGAGGACCTCTCTCTTACTCTCTGCCTCTGTCTCTCTTTAACTCTGCCTTTCAAACAAACAAATAAATAAATATTTTATTTAAAAAATCAATTAAGAAAATATCCAATTGTAGAAAAATCAGATTGACAATATATAGCTTGAACTGCAAAAAAAACAGGTTAAGACAGTAAAGTCCAGTGAAAGGAGTACACTAAACTCTAGATTTGAATCCTGCCCAACAATAACCAAATAAAAAACCTAGGAAAGCTACTTAACACTTCAGAGCCTCTGCTTCATCATCTAAAACACAACAAATAGAAATACCTAATTTTTGGGGCTAGTGCTGTGGCGTAACAGGTAAAGCCGCTGCCTTCAGTGCCAGCATCCTATATGGGTGCCGAATCAAGTCCCAGGTGCTCCACTTCTGATTCAGCTACTTGCTAATGTGCCTGAGAAAGCAATGGAAGATAACCCAAGTCATTGGGACCCTGCACCCATGTGGGAGACCTAGAAGAAGCTCCAGGCTCCTGACTTTGGATTGGCCCAGCTCCAACCATTATGGCCATTTGGGGTGTGAACCAGTGGATGAAAGACTCCTCTTTCTGCCTCTGCCTTCTAAATAAATAAATAAATATTAAAAAAAATCAGAAAAATCAGATTTGCAATATGCAGTTTGAAGTGCAGAAACATAGGTTAAGACAGTAAAGTCCAGTATACTAGATGTGAATCCTGGCCCAGCAATAACCAAGTGAACAACCTAGGAAAGCTACTTACCACCTCAGAGCCTCTATTCATCATCTAAAACACAAAAACAGAAATACCCAATTCTTGGGGCCAGTGCTGTGGCATAGTGGGTTTCTGCCTGAGGCACCAGCATCCCATATAGGTGCCAGTTCAAATCCCAGCTGCTCCACTTCTGATCCAGCTCTGTGCTGATGGCCTGGGAAAGCAGAGGAAGATGGTCCAAGTCCTTGGGCCCCTGCATCTGCATAGGAGACCTAGAGGAGGCTCTTGGCAAGGTACTTATCTGACAAAGGAAAAATACCCAGAATATATAAGCAACTCTCTTTTTTAGAATTTTAGCCTATTCTACACATGAAGATCTAAAATGAATCTCTCAAGTCACCTTTTCTTATTTCATGAACGACAAGAAATGCATTTATTTTCCAGCTCACAAAATGACTGCTCAAAATATACTCAAATATATTCAACCAACCAGGTTGAATTCTCAGCAACTGAAAAACGGCAGGCTTCCTTTTTATCATTCATAATTCCACTTTCTGGTATAATGAAATTCTTAACTCCAACCAGACAAGTAGTTTTCAGTTCCTCATTGAACCAATATTTCATGAGCCTTTGCTAGAGGTCAGATAATGCAGTAGGCTCTGGGGAACCCAGACAGGAAGGACTACATGTTGAGTGCCACTGATAAAAATGAATGTGAATAATAGAGAGTATATGTATTCACAATTTTCCAATCCTTGCAAATATATATACTTTAATGAATCAGCATTAGAATTTTGATTCCATTTCCTATTCAACAAATACTCATTCTTCTCAATTGTAACAGAAGAGTGTTACAATCATGACTCTCAGAAGAAGAAAGAAAGGCTCAGTGGGGTTGACTTCAATCAAGTCTCACTGTCATGAATGATACCTGACTAGATAAAACCATGGATTATCAATAACAAAGAGCAAATACAAGGCCTACTGAGAAACATTTTTGCCCAGTACCTTAAGATTAAAACACCAGAAGATATCTTTTTTTTTTTTTTTTTTTTTGGACAGGCAGAGTGGACAGTGAGAGAGAGAGAGACAGAGAGAAAGGTCTTCCTTTGCCATTGGTTCACCCTCCAATGGCCGCCGCGGCTGGCGCACTGCGGCTGGTGCACCACGCTGATCCGATGGCAGGAGCCAGGTACTTATCCTGGTCTCCCATGGGGTGCAGGGCCCAAGCACTTGGGCCATCCTCCACTGCACTCCCTGGCCACAACAGAGAGCTGCCCTGGAAGAGGGGCAACCGGGACAGAATCCGGCGCTCCAACCGGGACTAGAACCTGGTGTGCCGGCACCACAAGGCAGAGGATTAGCCTAGTGAGCCGCGGTGCTGGCCTCAATTTGTTTTGAACTGTGGTTACAGATGTGATTTTAAGTGACATCAAAAGACTACTTCCTATTAGACATGAACCAACTTATCAGACTTTATTCTTTATGCTAAAATTTAATTGTAAGGATGACAACAATTTTTTAATATCTGTCTTATCTTAATAAAAGCTATTTTTAGCTTTTATCTATCTCTTAATGAACAAATTTTTCCTTTCCTCAGTTGCCATAACTTTCTTCATGTAGATGTAGAGATATTCAAATTGGGTTAAAACAAATAATTATTAGCAATCTGTCATATTCCAATAACCCATGAATGTAGACAGTTCTAATTCTCTTTATTTAAGCCCTTCTACTCCTTTTCTTGAGAAAGGGAAGCTCCAGTCTTTACAGAGCAGCATAATTATAAGTTGGTAGTTGGTTTTTTTTTTTTTTTTGGTAAGATTCATTTACTTATTTTGAAAGAGTTACAGAGATAGACAAATACAGAGAGAGAGAGAGAGAGATCTTCCATGAGCTGGTTCACTCCCTAGATAATGAAAGCCAGGAGCCAGGAGCTTCATTTGGGTCTTCCAGGTGGGCGGCAGGGACCAAAGAACTCGGGTCATCCTCCACTGCTTTTCACAGACTGTTAGCAGAGAGCTGGATCAGAAATAGAGCAGCTAGGATTTGAACTGGTACCCATATGGGATATTGGTGTCACAGGCAACAGCTTTATGTGCTATGCCACAACACTGGCCCTGTTATGAGTTTTTACAACAATGTACTACAGCAGGGAGATCTTCCTTCCTCCAAATGTAGCAGGAAAAAAAGTAGTTTGTTGGAAAATAAATGATAACAATTATTAAAAAGGAGAGAACGATCCAACATGGGAAGTGGGAGACACAGCGGACTCATAGAATGACAAACACCCTAAGCAGCACTCTGGCCTCAGAATCAGCCCTTAAGGCATTCGGATCCGGCTAAAAAGCCCTTGAGAGTATTTCAGGCATGGAAATCCAAGACACTGAGGCAAAAAATATCCTAAATGAAAGATCTCTCTGAGTGAGATTCCAGCTGAAAGACCATCAAGAAGGAGGTACCTTTCTCTGAAGGGAGGAGAGAACTTCCGCTTTGATTATGCCTTGTCTAAATAAGGTCAGAGTTGGCAAACTCAAAAGGCTTCCATAGCCTTGGCAGCTCATGACAAGAGCCCCGGGTGATTACTTGACATCATAAATAAGAGTGTCAATTGTTAAATCAACAACAGGAGTCACTGTGCACTTGCTCCCTATGTAGGACCTCTGTCCTTAATGTGTTGTACTATGAGAATTAATGGTAAAACTAGTCTTCAAACAGTACTTTATACTTTGTTTGTCTGTGTGGGTGAGAACTGTTGAAATCATGACTTAATATAGAGTTGATCTTCTGTATATAAAGATAATTAAAAATGAATCTTAATGAAGAATGGGATGGAAGAGGGAGTAGGACATGGGAAGGTTTGTGGGTGGGAGGGTGGTTATGGGTAGAAAAACCACTATAATCCGAAAGTTGTACTTTGGAAATTTATATTTATTAAATAAAAGTCTTCTATTAAAAAAAGAAAAGCAATGATAACAATTGAAAATAGACATTTTGGAAGGAGATAGAAATAGGTTCAATTCCTAGATTGAGCATCTGGGTCATGGTTACATAACCTTTTTTTTTTTTTTTTTGGACAGGCAGAGTGGACAGTGAGAGAGACAGAGAGAAAGGTCTTCCCTGCATTGGTTCACCCCCAGATGGCCGCTGCGGCCAGCGCACCACACTGATCCGAAGCCAGGAGCCAGGAGCTTCTCCTGTTCTCCCATAGGGTGCAGGGCCCAAGCACTTGGGCCATCCTCCACTGCACTCCTGGGCCACAGCAGAGAGCTGGACTGGAAGAGGGGCAACCGGGACAGGAATCCGGCGCCCTGATCGCGACTAGAACCCGGTGTGCCAGCGCCACAAGCGGAAGATTAGCCTATTGAGCCGCGGCGTTGGCCTACATAACCTTTACTCTATCTGAGCCCAAGTTTCCTCAATAGTAACATACAAATAAACAGTAACCTTTTTTTTCTATTATGAGTAAAAGAGCACTGGATTTGGAGTCAGAAGGCCTAGGTTCAAAATCCTCTAATTATATGACATCAGGGAGGTAAAATGAGCTTAACCACTATGAGTCTGTTTCTTCATTTATAAAAAATAAAAAAAGTAATGAAATGCCTGCTTTATCTTTATCATACATAGGAAGATTCAGGCAAAGAAAATAGTTTCAATAAAAATCCTTCCTAATCTAGTGACAGTTTTGTACCTGTAAGATAATTTTACTGTTAAAATAATCTTATTAGAAATCACTACCAAAGTAGAAAAAAAAAAAAAACTACAAATAATAGCATGCCCATAAATTTCCAGGGAAATAAAATAGAATAGGGGTTTTCATTAATTTTCAATCTACTTGTTATAACATTTCAACCATGAGTAAAAACACAACATGATATCATTAGGAAGAAAGATGATAACCACTGCAAATAAAGCAAAAAGAAACATTACTTACCATATATAACTCCTTATTGATGCCAAGGTACTTTCCATTTCCACATCCAATATCAGCCACTATTGAACCATCTGGCAAAGCCTTCAAAAACTCCACGATGTGTGGCCAAGGGGTATGTCTGGTGCTGCTGAAGTGCCCAGCAATCTCTTCATACACTCGATGGACATACTCTCGCTCCAGCTGGGAGGCTTCTTGATCACTCTCCGGAAATGAAGGAGGACTCTCTTTCCTCTGGCTGTCACAGGCCACATAGTAACCTAAATGAAAAAATAAAGCAATCTAAATCTTTCACTTTTATCCAAATTATCATGTTTTTAAAGCAAACCAATACAAATTTGAAGACTGAGGTAGACAAGCTCGGATTTATTAGTTAAACAACAACAAAAAAGCTCTCCCAACAAGTTAAATTCTATACATGAAGGAGTCTAATGTGAAAAGAAAAGAGAGAATCCATTTACAACAAAACATGACTACAATTCTGCATCTGCCTTATAATGCCTCTTTCCCCTTGAATTGAGTCTTCATAGTCAGGAAAGCTTCTTCTAACCTATAAGAAAACCTATAGGATTTAGGGTTTTTCTCTTGGCAGATGAAGAAGTTGAAACTTCTGGGGAACCCCAGGACTCCCAAAGAAGAATAAGACCTTGCATTAAAGTGTCATTTGGTAATCATCACAAGCATTTATTGAACACTACTGTAAGCAGTTTATATGTGGTATCTCAACTCTCACAGTAACGCTATGATGTAGGTACTATTACATTCATTTTACCACTTAAGAAACTGAAGCACAAGGAAGTTAAATACCATCCCTAAGGTGACAAGGATGGTAAATCATAGCAAATATTTGAACCCAGGCAATGCAGATTCCAGGGCCCACACTCTCAATGACTACACTGTGTCACCTCTTTCAGAAGAATAACCAGGGCCAGCACTGTGGCATACTGGGTTAAGCCATCACCTGCAGTGCTGCCATCCCATATGGGCACCAGTTCAAGACTTGGCTGCTCCACTTCCAATCCAGCTCTCTGCTATGACCTGGGAGGGCAGTGGAGGATGGCCCTAGTCCTTGGGCCCCTGCACCCACATGGGAGACCTGGAGGAAGCTCCTGGCTCCTGGCTTCAGATCGGCACAGCTCCTGCCATTGTGGCCATCTGGGAGTCAACCGGCAAATGGAAGACCTCTCTCTCTGCCTCTCTTTGTTTCTCCATGTAACTCTGACTTTTAAATAAATAAATAAATCTTAAAAAAAAAAAAAAAAAGAATAACCAAACCCCAAGTAAACATCAGCAAGTAGAGATGACAGAGGGATTTAGTATACAATGTCTCAAATAAATTTTGAAGGTGTTCCTATTCTCTGTAATAATGTCTAATGTTAATTTTACATCTTAGCTGTTCTCTGCCATTCTGTAGTATTTTTTTTTGTCTTGTTAAAGTCTATAACACACACACAATATCTTTTTTATGGGTAGTGTTTTAGGGAAAAAAGAAAAGAAGTAGTATTCCCAGAGAAATCACAGAAAAGACTAATGCAACAGTTAAAACTCACATGACAGCAAAGAATTCAGTGGCAGCAACAAGGCTTCAGGAGTGGACAAAAACAAACTACTTTTCCCTAAAGATAACTAGAATATGACAAATCCTGAGAAAGCTTAAAATTGGGATGTGAGTTCAAGTTCCTATTAATGGGTAAAGGGAAACTCTAAAAATTTTAAATGGATATTTAAGAAAAAAATAGCCTCCAAAAGCTTGAGGGCTCTAAAACAAACATATGGAAACAGATGATTATACTATGACAGTTAAACTAAAATTACAACTATACAACACATTACAGGTATCCCAAAGTCGTCTTAGCAAAATTTATGATGGGAAGAACAACCTACCACTAAAAAATTCAAAAAGTTTGATTAAAATTATATAAAGAATGATCTTAGAAAGAAAAAAACCTTACTAATTATCAGGTAAATCCAAATTAAAACCAAAAGATATCACCTCACACTTGTTAGGATGGCTATTATTAAAGGGAGGAAAAAGAGGCTAGTGCTGTGGCACAGCAAGTAAAGCCGCTGCCTGCAGCACTAGTATCCCATACGGGCTCCAGTTTGAGTCCCAGCTGCTCTATTTCCAATCCAGTTCCCTACTGGTGTGCCTGGGAAAGCAGCAGAAGATGATCCATGGCTTGGGGTCTTGCACCCACGTGGGAGATCTGGATGAAGCTCCTGGCTCCTACCTTCAGTCTGACCCAGCCCTAGCCATTGCAGCCATTTGGAGAGTGAAGAAGCAGATGGAAGATCTCTCTCTCTCTCTCTCTCTCCTTTTCTCTCTGTAACTCTGCCTTTCAAATAAATATAATAAAAATCTTCTAAAAAGGAAAAAAGTATCAAGTGTTGGCAAGGATATAGAGAAAAGGAAACCCTGGCACACTGCTGGTAGGAATGTAAATTAGCACAGCCATTGCAGAAATAGTATGGAAGTTCCTCAAAAAGCTAAAATAGAACTATCATGATCTAGACATCCCACTACTGGGTATATATCCAAAGAAAATGAAAACAATATGCCAAAGAGTTATCTGCACTCCTGTGTTCATTGCAGCATTAGTCCCAGCAGCCAACATTTGGATTCAACCTAAGTGTCCTTAAATGGATGAATGGATCTTTAAAATGTGCTATCTATACACAATGAAATACAATTCTGGTTTAAAGACAGTAATCCTGTCATCTGCAATAACATCTAATGAACTTAGAGGACATTATGTTAACTAAAGAAAGCCAGGCACAGAAAGACAAAAACCACATAATATTACTTTCATGCATAACTTAAAAATGTTGACCTCATAAAAGCAGAAGAGTAGAATGGTGGTAACTAAGAGCTGAGTGGGATGGGAGGAGACTGGGGAGATGTTAGTCAAAGTATATAAAATCTCAGTTAGAGAGGAGTAAACCTCGAAGATCTATTTTACAACATACAAATAACTCTGTATAATATATATTTGAAAGATTTATTTATTAATCTGAAAGCAAGAGTTATAGAAAGAGGGAAGGAGAGAGAGAGAATCTTCCATCTGCTGGTTCATTCCTCAAATGGCCTCAACAGCCTGGGCTGGGCCAGGCTAAAGCCAGGAGCCAGGAGCTTCTTTCAGGTCTCCCACATGAGTGCAGGGAACCAAGGACTTGGGCCATCTTCTTCTGCTTTCCCAGACACATCATCAGGGAGCTAGATCAGAAGTGGAGCAGGGGCTGGCACCATGGCATAACAGGTAAAGCCACCACCTACAGTACCAGCATCCCATATGGGCACCAGTTCAAGTCCAGCTGCTCCTCTTCCGATTCAACTCTCTGCTATGGCATGGGAAAGCAGTGGAAGATGGCCCAAGTCCTTGGTAGCCCGGAACCCATGGGGGAGACCTGGAAGAAGCCCCTGGCTCTTGGCTTCAGATTGGTGCAGCTCTGGCCATTGTGGCCGCCTCGGGAGTGAACCAGCAGATGGAAGATCTCTCTCTGACTCTGCCTCTCTGTAATTCTGCCTTTCAAATAAATCAATCAATCAGAAAAAAAAAAAAAAAGAAGAAGTGGAGAAGCCAGGACCCAAACTGGCACTCAAATGGGATGCCTGCATTGCAAGCCATAGGTTAACCTACTGTGTTACATCTCTGACTTCTGTATTGCATTATTGAAAAATCACTAAAAGAATATATTCTAAGTGTTTTTACTACAAAAAAATGTAATGCATATGTTAATTAGTTCAATTTAGCCAATCCACAATGTATACAGATTTCAAAACATCATGTTGTATGCAATAAATGTGTATAATTTTTATGTCAATTTAAAAAATCTATAACTGGAATACTCAATCACAGCTTCTTAGGGTATACCTTACATTTAACAAATGACAATAACAGAAAAGCATTTGCAAAAGAAAACCAGCTTGTCTCTCTAATGAGACTTTAAGTTCCTTGGGGCCAGCACTGTGGCAAAGCAGGTAAAGCAGCTGCCTGCAGTGCCAGCATCCCATTTAGGCACTGGTTCAAGTCCCAGCTGCTTCCACTTCTGATCCAGCTCTCTGCTATGGTCTGGGAAAGCAATAGAAAATGGCCCAAGTCCTTGGGCCCCTGCATCCACGTGGAGACCTGAAGAAGCTCCTAGCTTCTGGCTTCGGATTGGCTCAGCTCTGGCCATTGTGGCCATCTGGGAAGTGAACTAGAGGATGGAAGACCTCTCTGCCTCTCCCTCTCTGTAACTATGCCTTTCAAAATAAATAAATAAATCTTTTTTAAAAAAAAGATAAGGTGATCAAGAAAGAAAAAAGAAGTTCCTTAAGTACAGAGCCCATGCTTTATTTTTCTATATCTCATAAATTACAGCAGTATTAGACATTCATCAAATATTTAATAGCATTTTTAATTAATTCTTTAAATCAATATTTTAAGGCTTCAAAGATACTTTTAGCAAAATAAATAAAAATATTATGCTTCACTAATATTAAGACATTAAACATAAAGATTATAAGTTTTCTAGCAGGGTAACATCTTATAAATTTAATAAGGGTTTTTAATTCAAAACAATTTTAAGATTATGGTTAAATCCAAAAGCAACTGGTAGATACTACCCATAATCAAAACTCCTAGGACAGAAAAAGAATCTTACCAGTACTGTCACTACAAAATATTATTTATAAAATGAAAGAGATTTCTTCTAATAGAGTATGAGAAATCCAGCGCTCTGATGTACTTGGATAGACAATTCGAAACAGCATTCTTTCAACAAGATTTTGAGCAGTTCCTTTACTTTATTCTAGGTTCCCAAATTGACAAAAACATAACCTATTTCTTGCTCTCTAGAATTGCCTACCACTGAACAATCTTTCATCTCCAGCTTCCCTGTTGGCTTACTAAAAAGTAATTTAGAAACTTGAAATGCTGTTTCTACCAAAACCTATTTTTTTTACAAGTGATATTTCATTTTCACAATTGTAGCATTCTCAACTGTGACTTCAATAAACAAAATATTTATTTGGTACCCAATTATGCTCAAGTACTACATCTGGAGAAAAGAAAGATGACAAGATATAGCCTCCCCATCAAAGAATATTAACTCTAACGGGAATGGTTAAGAAAAGCATGTGACAGGAGCTGGCATCGTGGCTTATAGGTTAAGCCTCCTGTATGGGCGCTGGTTTGAGTCGACTGCTGCATCAGCTGCCTGCTAATGGCCTGGGAAAGTAGTGGAAAATGCCTCAAGTGCTTGGACTCCTGCACCTAAAGACCTAGAAGAAGCTCCTGGCTCCTGGCTCCTGGCTCCTGGCTCCTGGCTCCTGGCTCCTGGCTCCTGGCTCCAGATCAGCCCAGCTCCGGCCATTGAAGCCATTTGGGGAGCGAACCAGAGGATAGAAGACCTCTCTCTCTGCCTCTCCCTCTGTCTATCTGTAACTCTGACTCTCAAATAAAAAAAATAAAATAAAAAAAAGTACATGAAAGTACAGCAGAATGCAAGGAATACCATCAGAGAACTTAAGAAATAGCTCTTCTGGGTGCTTATGGAACCTAAAGAGATTTTCATACTAGATTTACTCCACTTTACAGTAGAATTGAAATTACATACTTACTACAGTTACAAGGTGTTCGCCTCACTTTCCTAAATGTAAATGATGTTCGGATTCCCCTCTTGCTTAAAGTTAAGTCTCCAACATCACTGGTGATAATTCCACTTTTGTGATGCTCAGATGCTTGAATAGTATCAAATTTTCTGGGTGTGATTCTAAAAATAACAGGCAAAATAATTTACCAAAGATTATATTAATAAAAATATTTCAGGTCTTCTAAAAATATTAAGGAAATACAGCAAATATAGGACTTATTGAAAATATCAATTGGATTCCTTGACTTACTAGGCATTTTGGAAAAAGCAAAAGAATAAAAATCTTTAAGGAAGTTATCTTCAGATTAATATTAAAAGGATGAACAACAACAAATTATTTGAGGAAAATAAAACAGTAACAAATATTTAATTAAATTCAATTCTAAAAGGAAAACAACAGATGAGGCAAAGATGAAACATAGATATTAAATTTAAACTCAATATCAGTAATTATGTTAAATGTAAACAGATTAAAATCTCCAATTAAAGAATAAAACTTGAGAGGGAGGGTATGGTATAGAGGTTTAGATGCCTCTTGGGATGCCCACATCCCATTTCGGAGTACATGGGCTAAAGTCCTGACTCCTCTTCCAATTCCAGCTTCCTCATAATGTACACCCTGGCAGGCAGCAGGTGATGGCTCAAGTACTTGGCTCCCAGCTTGGGCCAGCCCAATCCTGATCACTGCAGGCATTTGCAGAGGGAACCAGCAGATAGGAATTCTCTCTCTGTTTCTCTCACTCTGTCTCTCAAATTTAAAAATAATAATAATTTAAAGAATATTTAGAAATAGAAAAATACATAACATGAAAAAATATTTTGCATATATCAAGCAAAACCAAAAGAAATATGATATAGTTATACTAAACAGACAAATTCAACTTTAAAGTGGTAAGGATCACTAAAGATAGAAAAGAATATTTCATGATGATGATGTTCAAACAGAAAGTTACAAAAACTCTATTTATACATGCCAAATTAGTAACATTCTCAAAACTTATAAAGCAAAAGATTGGGAAAGTATATAACACAAAAATAGAAAAAATACAATTATCAATGGAGTTTTTAATATAAGTACATCCTTTTCAGTAACTAAAGTCTAGTTAAAGGTTAAGGGTATCAACATTAGGAAACAACAAACAATGGAACAAAAAATTAACTATTAAATTGTATAATATAGATACAATAAGTAAAACAAAGATTAAAAGTAAAAAGTAGTTTAAGTTATTACAAATTGTGTTATAAGAAGATTTGAAGAGGATCCTTGCAGTATGCTCAAATTTCTGAATGGGAAAAAAGGAATCTTATGGTAGGAAAATAATATACTTTCAAAGCTCAATTTACATATAATAAAATGTATAGATATTAAGCACACAGTTCAATGAGTTTTGACAAACGTACACCCCCTTGTGACCACCATGCCAATCAAGAATATTTCCAACACTCAAGGTCACACAGCCAAAAGGACACCAAGGTCCTTTCAGCCAATCCTTCCCCACTTCGAAGCAATCACTATTCTGATTTCAATCAGTATATTTTTGCTTTCTCTTGAACTTCATAAACAGTACTATTCTGTGTCTGGCTTTGTCCAGCCATCATAACGGTTTTGACATTTAACCACGTTGTGATATTTAGCAACAGTGTGCAGCCTATTGATGAGTAACATTCTATTGTACGAACCTAACACAATTTATTTATACAAAAATCTGTTAATGCATACAGTTTGCAACTACTATTAGTACAGCTGTGAACATTCTTACACACATTGTTTTCAGGTACATATATATATATTTTTTCATTACTCTTGGGTAAATGCCTAGGAGTAAAGTTGATGGGTCACCAAGTAAGAAATTGCCAGTTTTTCAAAGCAGTTATTCAGTTTTACACTCCAGTCAGCCACATGTGAGAATTCCAGGCTGCTTGACAGTCTCATCAACACTGGTTGTTGTCTCCATTTTTTAGGTTAGGATTTAAAGTGATGGTAAGCAGTATGAAACTTTGGTTAATTAGAATTTCTCTAATAACTAATGATATATGTGTTCACTGCTTATTATCCACTCATAGATCTTTCTTCTGGTGAAGGATCTATTCAAATCTTTTGCTAAATTCCCAGATAGATGGATAGACAGACAGATTTTACAGAAATTTCCACTCTGCATGTGGCTGCCTTTTTATTTTCATTTTGTAACATTTAAAATTTATTTACTTATTTATTTGAAAGGCAGTACTAAAATGGATTTGATCATAAAATCCTAAATGAATACTGGCCCTAAATTGTGAACAAATTCTCAATTTTCATTTCATTGTTACTATTATTTCACTCCATCTGATATTAGATTTAGAATCCTAAACTAATTATTTAAACCACACCATGGTTAATCATGAATGTTGGGAAGGAGGTATTTTACAGGTTTTCATGTTATTTTAAATAGCATTTTAATTTCATTTTCCAAAAAATAATTTTTTAATACTGAACAGCCAAATACAAGTGGTTCTAGTACTTTTGTTGATCCCCTAGGGTTTCCATATCCACAATAATGCATTCTTTTTATTTTTTTAAAGATTTTATTTATTTATTTCAAAGTCAGACTTACACAGAGAGAGAAGAAGCAGAGAGAGAGAGAGAGAGAGAGAGAGAGAGAGAGAGTCTTCCATCCACTGGTTCACTCCCCCAATTGGCTGCAATGGCTGGAGCTGAGCCGATCTGAAGCTAGGAGCCAAAAGCCTCCTCTGGGTCTCCCAGGCAGGTGCAGGGGCCAAAGGACTTGGGCCATCCTCCACTGCCTTCCCGGGCCACAGCAAAGAGCTGGACTGGAAGTGGAGCAGCCAGGACTTGAACAGGCGCCCATATGGGATGCCGGCACTTGCAGGTGGCAGCTTTACCCACTATGCCACAGCCCATCTGCTATAATAATGTATTCTACAAATCAAGAGTTTTACTACTTCCTCTCAAATCTTTATGATTTTAGTTTTTTCATTATTATACTAAGATATCCAATACAACATTAAGTAGAAATGATAAGAGCAAATGTTCCTGCCCTGTTTAATATTTTACAAAATAGCAATCAATATTCCAACATTAAGTATGATACTAGCCGTAGGCTTTTCACAAATATCCTTTATCAGATTGAAGAACTTCCCTTATTGATTCTGAAATGCTAAGCCAACCTTGAAATACTGGGGTAAATTCCAATCAGTTATAATGTATTTTCTTTTTAAATACCTTAGGATTACCGGTGCCATGGCTCACTAGGCTAATCCTCCGTCTGCAGCATCAGTACTCCAGGTTCTAGTCCCGGTTGGGGCCCCGGGTTCTGTCCCAGTTGCTCCTCTTTCAGTCCAGCTCTCTGCTGTGGCCTGGGATTGCAGTGGAGGATGGCCCAACTCCTTGGGCCCTGCACCCGGATGGGAGACCAGGAGAAGCACCTGGCTCCTGGCTTCGGATCAGCGCAGTGCACCGGCCGTAGCGGCCATTTGGGGGGTGAACTAACGGAAGGAAGACCTTTCTCTCTGTCTCTCTCTCTCACTGTCTAACTCTGCCTGTCAAAAATAAATAAATACTGTAGGATTAAACTTTCTAATATTTCTAATATTTTGTTAAGGATCTCTCATCTCTGTTATATCAGTCTATAATTTTCCTTAATTGTAATGTCCTTGACATATTTTGTGTCAAGGGTAATGCCAACTTCATAAAAACGAGTTAGGAGAATGCTGTTTTTAAAAGAGCTTGTGCCAAAGGCAATTTTTTAGAAGTAAAGGCAAGCAATCATTGCCTGAATTTATTATTTTTATTCTAATATAATTTATTATTGTTATTCTAATAGCTGAAAATGATGAAACCTATCCTTTTGAACAAAGTCAAGATATTTTAAAAGAAAAAAAATGAATTCCCTCTAGAGGATTAAGCAGTTCTCTATTATGGCTGTTTTAAGCCAATTACATCACTTGCCTAACATTAAACCTCAGGCAAAGGCCAAGTAGTTCTTAACTGCTATTGGCATGACTATCAGATTTTTACACATACGTAACCTATATGATAAAATAATGATTTTCTTAAACATCATTAAACACAACTTTTTCCCCTTACACTCAAATCATAATCTAGTTGAGAAAATATTCAACAGAAAGATAAAAATAATTTTATAGATGTAAATAATAGTTCAATATACTAGAACAGGCAGTAGGAGACAATAGTATTTAGGGGTTAAGCTAAGGGATAAATTATTTCAAGTTAATATAGTCAGGAAAAGCTTCATAAATTTATGAAATTACTTCCTTTATAAGGAAGTAAAAGTAGAGCTGTACATTAAAAATAGAATGGAAAGGAAACAGAAATGTATTGCACTGAGGGCTGCAAAAATGTGAAGGCTAGAGAGCTCAGTATAAATTCAGAGGAAAGGAAGCAAACAAGCTAAGCTACGACATTATGGTTCAGGGTACAGATCCCAAAGCCAGACTTCCTCTCTCTGCCTCTCCTTCTCTCTCAGTGTAACTCTGACTTTCAAATAAATAAATAAAAAGAAAATAGCTTCAGAAAACTAGGAAGAAAAATAAAAATAATGTTTTAGAATTAACCTGTACCATTACCAAGAGAAGAGTAAAATCTTTGCATAATATATATGATAAGGAGTTTCTTATTTTGCATTCGCTATAATATTGTTTTTTTAAATGTTTATTTATTTTTATTTGAAGTCAGAGATACAAAGAGAGAGAAGGCAGAGAGAAAGAGAAGTCTTCCATCCACAGGTTCACTCTCCAATTGGCCACAATGGCCAGAGTTGCACCAATCCGAAGCCAGGAGCCAAGAGCTTCTTCCAGGTCTCCCACATGGATGCAGGGGCACAAGGACTTGGGCCATCTTCTACTGCATTCCCAGGCCACAGCAGAGAGCTGGATCGGAAGTGGAGCAGCCAGGAGACATGAACCAGCGCCTGTATGGGATGCTGGCACTGCAGGCGGCAGCTTTACCTAGTATGCCACAGCGCTGGCCCCCATTTGCTGTAATATTATTATTCTTAGAAGTTTAAACATTAGTGACAGCAAAAATGAATAACTTATGCTCAAAGTTTCAAGAATACCTGAAACCAATAGATCTCACAGTCATTTTCATTTAAACTACAAATATTTTAATGGCCATAAAAATAAAATTATATAAACTTAAGCCTCAGTACATAAAAATGGGCCATCTTTTTTTATCTTTCACATTTAGGACAGGTTACAAATTTATTCATATGCTCATTTCCTTGAATGTTTATAAAAATATGTCAGCTAAAATCTCCAGGCAGGACAGAATTAATGAGTATAGAACTAAGCATTACTCTAAGTGACTAAGTAACTAAGCATTACTCTATGCAAAATTTGGCAGTGCAATTCTTTCCTCAAAGTGCTAAAGATGCATTCCTACCACAAGTATAAAATCCATTTCTTTAGGCTCACATTACACAAACTCAAACTGAGAAACATTCTACAACACAATTGACCTCCCCAAAAGAATCACTTATGAAGGACAAAGAGAAGTTGAGGAAGTACTACTTCAAATTAAAGATTAAATAGTAATGACCACTAAATGTAATATAAGATCAAGGATTAAATACTGGATCAGAGAGAAAGCTTACTATAAAGTACTACATCATACAACTAGCAAAATCTGAATATGGATTATATAATGGTATCTTATCAATGTTGAATTTCCTGAATTTGATTATTGTACTGTGGTTTTATAGAACAGGGACTAAAAAACATTTTATATAAAGAACCAAAATATAAATATTTTAGGCATTAAAGGTCAATATCAATTTTGTCTAATATTTGCACTGCTTTTAACAACCCTTTAGGAATGTAAAAACCATCCTTGGTTCATGTTTTACAGTTGATGAATTTTGCTAATTATTCCTAACTTGCCAAGCGCTGATGTAGATAATGCCCTTGTTCTTAGGAAATACACAATGAAGTATGTAAGAAGAAAAGGTCATAACATCTGTTACTTACTCTCAAATGATTCAAGAAAAATAATAATATATGTGAGAAAAAATAAAAGATGTAGCAAAATGTTCATAGTTGATAAATCTAGTGAAAGGCGAAGACAATTCATTGTAGTAGGCTTGCAACTTTGCATTACAGGTTAAAAAAAAAAGCCAGGATGGCCCTAGGAGAGTTGAACCCAGAACCTTCAATGTGCAGGCAGAGGGTATGGTTCTAGAGGCTCAGACAAAAAAAGAATGAAGTCTCCCAAAGCAGAAGTTATCCTGTCATTAAGATCATTTCAATACACACCCATGGGTCCAAAGATATCTAGATTCTCCTGTCATCACCAGCAAACTCCGACGAGGCAACATAACTGGGACTGTGATACCATCTGGATGCTTAAAATCCATGACAATCTGGAAGCAAAGACAAAAGCACAAAGATCAACCTAAAGGTTCATATACTACAAGGATAAGAATGATTCACTCATTCTATCTATCCTTTTAGACTAATACAGATTAAAATATGATAATGCTCAAAGAATAGCATAGCACAACCTTTAGTGTACATAACACTCAACTAAATGATGAAAACATACTTCATTCATAAAAATTCAGACTCAGCAGGTACAGAGTGAGGCTCAGGAATCCGCATGTCCAACATTCACTTCAGGAAATTCTGAGGATCATACAATGAAAACTACTACAGTAGTGGTCAAACACAGGGTCTTTGGACTGAAACACTCATATCTCAGCTCTTTCATGAGACTCAGGGCAAGCCATTTACCACCTCTATGTTATGGTTTTCTCAACTACTACAGGGTGGTTAGATGAATTAAACATATAGTGGATATAAATCACACTACCAAGCAAATAGAAAATACAGAAATAAGTTACTAGAAATTTTTATTATTCATAAAATTCTAATGAAAGGAGAAATAACTATTAGATGTAGGTTCTCATATAACATATCATACACCTTTTGAAGTCATGGCAACATATTAGAGACTTATTAATAAGAAAGTGAAAACAGGAAGATTTTCAGCAGCTTTTTCTAAGTTACATTCAAATACTATTTTGAGAGGCCGGCACTGTGGCACAGCGGGTTAACGCCCTGGCTTGAAGTGCCAGCATCCCATATGGGCGCTGGTTCAAGATCCGGCTGCTCTATTTCCAATCCAGCTCTCTGCTATGGCCTGGGAAAGTCCTTGGACCTCTGCACCTGCGTGAGAGACCTGGAAGAAGCTCCTGGCTCCTGGCTTCGGATTAGCGCAGCTCCGGCTGTTGCAGCCAATTGGGGAGTGAACCATCGGATGGAAGACCTCTCTCTCTCTCTCCCTCTCTCTCTCCCTCTCCCCCTCCTTCTCCTTCTCCCTCTCCTCTCTCTGTGTAACTCTGACTTTCAAATAAATAAATAATCTTTTTAAAAATACTATTTTGAATAACAACCTATAAAGATACAATACCCAAGAAGATTTTTTGTAATAGGAGCCCATCAAACACCAAAGACTGCAGTCTAAACACAGTCGCAAGCCAAAAACATGAACTTAAAAGGCAAGTCACAGGGCTAAAAAAATATTCTCAAGTAAAGAAATCAGTCCATTTGAAAAATAAATATGACATACCCGCTTAAGGGAAGAGCATCCCAACTGGCAGTACACTTCAATCCCTACAGTCAAAGCCACTGAGACACCAGCAGATATCACCAACAGTGAATACAGCAGAAATTACACTAAGCATCCACCTGGGACCAAAGTCAGTGCAATCTATCCAACTGATACCCTAGAACATATCAGCAGCAGAAAATCTTTTACTATGAAAGCTATAAAATTGACAGAAGCAACTGACCAATGTAGGGACACAGAAGCATGTAAAAAAGGTTATATGATTCTGCCAAAGAGACACAGTAATACTAGCACCAGATGAAAAGGAAACAAATCAATGTATTGCCTGACAAATGATTTAAAATAATAATTTTAAAGAAACTTAATAAGACAAAGAAAATATAGACAGACAATCTAATGAAATCAGGAAAACAATTCATGAGAAATTTGTCAAAGACGGAGATTGTAAAAAAGGATTAATCAGAAATCTTGGAGCCAAAATACTCGGGAAACAAAATTTAAAAAACAGTTGAGCCGGCGCTGCGGCTCAATAGGCTAATCTTCCACCTGCGGTGCCAGCACACCGGGTACTAGTCCCGGTCAGGGTGCCGGATTCTTTCCAGATTGCCCCTCTTCCAGGCCAGCTCTCTGCTGTGGCCCGGGAAGGCAGTGGAGGATGGCCCAAATGCTTGGGCCCTGCACCCGCATGGGAGACCAGGAGAAGCACCTGGCTCCTGGCTTCGGAACAGAGCAGTGCTCTGGCCACAGCGGCCATTGGGGGGTGAACCAACGGAAAAAAGGAAGACCTTTCTCTCTCTCTCTCTCTCTCTCTCTCTCACTGTCCACTCTACCTGTCAAAAAACAAACAAACAAACATACAGTTGAAAGCCTCAACAAGAATTGAGCAGGTAAAAGAAAGAATTCCTAGGGCCAGAGCAGTGGCTGATCCAGCTCTCTGCTATGATCTGCAAAGGCAACAGAAGATGGTCAGGTGCTTGGGTCTCTGTGCCTGCATGAGAAACACGAAAGAAGATCCTGGCTTCTGGCTTCTGGCTTCAGATCGGCCCAGCCCTGGCCATTGCAGTCATTTTGGGAGTAAACCAGTGGATAGAAGACCACTCTCCTGTCTCTCCCTCTATCTGGAACTCTACCTCTCAAATAAATAAATAAATAAATATTTAAAATAAAAAGAAGGAGAAAGAAGAAAGAAGAAGAAGAGAAAGAATTCCTGAGCTTGAGGACAAGGGTTTTGAAATAACCCAAACAGATGGAAAAAAAAAAAAAAAAGTTTTAATGAAAAAAATCTTTGAGATTTATGGGACACCAATAAGCAAGCAAGCATTCTTATTATGGTTTCAGAAGGAAAAGAGAAAGAAAAGATACAGAAAATCTACTGGATGGAATAACTGCTGAAAACTTTCCAAATCTTGGGAAAGATAAGGACACTCAGGTCCAGCAATCCCAAAGGCTCATCTCCTAATAAATATTATCAAAAAAGCTTCTCTCAGAGGCATACTACAAACTTTCAGAATTATGAGACACAGAAAGAATTCTAAAGGCCAGCACTGGGGAATAATGAGTAAATCTGCTGCCTGCGATGCCAGCATCCATATGGGTGCCAGTTTGTATCCCAGCTGCTCCACTTATCACCCAGCTTCCTGCTAATGGCCTGGGAAAGGCAGTATAAGATGACCCAAGTGTTTGAGAGCCTGCACCCACACCAGAAACCTGGATGAAGCTTCTGGGGAAACCAACCATTGAAACCAGCTGGGGAGTAAACTAGTAGATGGAAAATCTATTTCTCTTTGTTTTTCCCTCTCTCTCTCTAGTTCTGACTTTCAAATAAATAAATTTTATTTGTTCAAATAAATAAATTTTTTAAAAATAATTATGTATATTTATTTGACAGAGTTACAGACAGTGAGAGACAGAGAGAGAGAGAGAGAGAGAGAGAGAAAGGTCTTCCTTCTGTTGGTTCACTCTCCAAATGGCGGCAACGGCCGGTGCTGAGCAGATCCGAAGCCAGGAACCAGGGGCTTCTTCCTGGTCTCTCAGGTGGGTGCAGGGGCCCAAGCACTTGGGCCACAGCAGAGAGCTGAATTGGAAGAGGAGCAGCCAGGACTAGAACCGGTGCCCATATGGGGTGCCAGCACCGCAGACAGAAGATTAACCTAGTGTGCCACGGCACTGGCCCCTAAAAATAATTTTAAAAATAGTAAGGGAAAAGCCCTGAGTCACCTATAGAGAAATTCCCACTAGATCAGCAACAGAAACATTAAAGGGAGGACAGAATAGGATGAAATATTCAAAATCCCAGAAGAATAAAAGCACCAGCTAAAAATACTATACCTAGCAAAGATATCCGTCCAAAATGAAGTTTTACTTCTTCCTATGGCAAGTAAAATCTGAAGGAATTCATCATTACCACAATATAAGAAATGGTTGAGAGTTCTATACTAGAAGTGAAAGATGATAACTACCATGATGAAAACACATCAAAGTATGAATCTCAGCAGCATAGCAACTGCAGAAAAAGAAAGCAAAAAAAATCTAATGATTCATATTTCCTTTTTACTTCCTTCTGGATCTCATTTGCTATTCATTTAGTTAGTTTTTTTTTTTTAACCTGTATAAATTAGAACCATAGTTCTGTAATTTTTTTTCTTGTATTCAACAGGTTCTGATATCAGGGTTATGTTGATTTTTTTTTTTTTTTTTTTTTGGACAGGTGGAGTTAGACAGTGAGAGAGAGAGACAGAGAGAAAGGTCTTCTTTTGCCATTGGTTCACCCTCCAATGGCCGCCGCGGCCAGCACGCTGTGGCCGGCGCACCACACTGATCCGATGGCAGGAGCCAGGTACTTATCCTGGTCTCCCATGGGTGCAGGGCCCAAGTACTCAGGCCATCCTCCACTGCACTCCCTGGCCACAGCAGAGAGCTGGCCTGGAAGAGGGGCAACCGGAACAGAATCCGGCACCCCAACCAGGACTAGAACCCGGTGTGCCGGCGCCGCTAGGCGGAGGATTAGCCTAGTGAGCTGCGGCGCCGGCCCCTCTGATTTATTCTTCAAACACTCTCAACAGCCAGGGATGGGCCAGGCCAAAGCCATGAATTGAGAGTTCAATCCATGACTCCCATATGGTTGGCAAGCACCCAATAACTTAAGTCACTGTCTGTTGCCTCCCAGGGTGCACATTAACAGGAAGCTGGATTAGAAGCAAAGTAGACAGGACTCAACCCAGGCACTCCAATATGGCATGCAAGCACCCAAAGCAGAGACTTCAGTGTTGCACCAAATGCCTACACTATGGTTACCTGAATGTGTAGAAGTTTTCAGGGCTAGCTTCATGAACAAACAGGAATGCTCATGGCTCTGTGCTCAAACAGGTCTCTATATAAAGTTTAATGCTCTACTGTCACTATCCTGAATTTCTTGATTTTATTTTTAAACTTCTGTTTGTTAAATGAAGCCTGATGAAATAATGGAGCACATACAGGATCAGAGGAAATACACACGATAAGCCTAACCACAAACTGAGGACCACTGCACAACGCACTGTGAATATCCCATGAGTACAGAAAGCATAGGAGTTCAGTGAGACTCACGTTAAGAGAAAAGCATTTTACATCTACAACTGAGTAAGTGGGAACACTGACAGCCTAGAGAAGCCACTAGAGCTTGCTACAAAGGCAGAAAAAAGGCAATGGAGTTCTAAGAAACATAAGCAACCAAGGAAGTATACCATCATTACCTTTCTTTCTTGTGTTACTTTCCTGTATTAGTCAACTGCTTCTAGCAAAAATGATGACATAGAAGGAAATTCAAAAATAAAGACAAA